CATACATACAGCAATTATCTAGGTTCAAGTGGCTTAAAGTTTCTGGGCGTATAGGCTCCTCTTTGGGAACATCCCTACATGGGGAACCCCCCGAAAGATGCGTATAGGTTTGCGGTTATTCATGCTTTAAAGATACAGTCCCCCTTAAGTCCCCCTTAAGTAGATAGAATAGGAGCTTCGGGTATATTACAATAAAATCCACATATACCCCCTGAATCCTAAACCCTAAATAGTTGTTTCCATTTTCCTTTTGCATTATCCGAATATAACCCCAATATAACCCTAAGATTCTATCTACTGTTCCTGATAATTTCATGTGTATAAAGAGGAGCGTAAGAGCTCAATGCCTAAAAGATTTTACAAGGGCTGATGCAACCCCCCAAATAATGCAAAACTCCATTTTATCTTGTCCAAGGAACGTTTATTGTTAGGAGGTGTGGAGGTTTGTGAGTGGGTGGAGGGGATTCTGCTCATGGAGGGAAATTCTGCACCACCCCTGTCCCCTAATTCCTACAGGTTGAAGGACCCTAAGTAGTGGAGTGTTTCCTTCATCAACGGTTAGTAGCTTTGGGTTTGGGGGCTCAGGATTCCTGGCGTTTATGACGGTTGTTGTGGGGGGTAGGGGAAGTTCCTTGAAAATTTTGGTGTATGTATGGATTATGGGTTCCAGGGAATCATGACGGAATCCTGTAAGGCATCATGAGCCCAAAAGGCCTAAAGCACCTGTGGCAAAGTCTCTGCAAGAAGCATGTGCTTGGGCGCTTCTCGAAGTAGAGGGGTGCTCCCCATTGCAAGTTACTTATGGATTAGTTCACGCAGCGCCTGTCTCCTCGACCCACAATTCATAACATGTAGTAAGGTTGCCAGAAGGATAAGCACGACACGTCTAAACTTGGAGCCCGCAGATGGGACAAATCCATGACTATGCGAAATGGTGGTCTGAGCTTTACCTTGTAGATATGGAGGGTTAAAGGACCCTAGCAGCAATTCTTTCATCTGCCTACACTGAGGAGCTGTGCTCTGTGTTTTCTTCAGATTAAGGGGATCGAATTAAAGAATCAGTCCTTAAGTAGATCCACACCTTAACCCCCATGCCCAAACACCATGGATTGGACAATTTCCTAGGGCCTTCAGACGAGGGCGCTCGAAAAAGACAATGGTTTTTAATGGATCCTCTTCGGGGTCCATGGTAGCTTCAGCGACTCCAGTATAATTCTGAGTGTTCCTGCGCTCATCCGTCTGGCTATCCTGCCTCATTTCAGACCAGTTTAGAATTGAGTCTAGGGTTTCAGCCATAGTGCTTAGGGATTGGCAGGAGACTGCTCCAAAAGAGGAAGAGTCGCCAACGAACAGGCTGGGGAACATGCATAACTGCACTAGCAGGTGCACAATTAAAAGCTTTAGGGTTGAGAGTTTCGGGTTTGGAGACTGGGGTCTTGGGTTCAGGGACAATTTTACAAGATCACGGGATCTCGAGGCTGAGGTATGTATGTTCCAAATCTTTTAGGAGCAAGGTATGGCGTTGCACGTGTTGTTGCCGGGGGGACGCATAGGTGTGTGGAAGATACTGTATGCGGGTGTCCAACAATTGTGGCCGCCCCATTTTGTGCCGGCTTGAAGTTTGGACCGTACGAGTTCGAGTCAACCACCTGTGGGCTTGGGTTACTGCACTCAATCAAGTAGTGTGGCTTTGACAGACTAGGCCTGCTCGGATCGAATCGCCGCGCATGTTTTGGATCTAGTTTCGGAAAATTCTTCACTCTTTGAAAGACCCAGCGAAAGCCCTGTGACCCCCAAGAATAGCCTTGGTCTTTTTCCTGCGGCATCTAGCAGCATGAGCACGCCACAGCAACCCAATGCTAGCTGAGAATTCTACCTGCAGTGTGCATGATTCTGGAGCATCAACAAAGGTCTCAAACCCTCTCTTTGAGAACTCTGAACCCTGCACCTGAAAGCATTACTTGTGAACCGCTGAAAATGTCACACGCGTGAGCATGGCGTCGGTAGCCCGCAGTTCTGAGCCGGCTTGCAGGAGAAAATGATAGAATAGCAGAAAAGCAATGACAACTACTTATAGCACAGACAAAGATGAGGTGAGGACGAGGAGGACGACTATTGCGGTTGCGGCTGCTACTAGTATGCTGATATTGGTGTCAATAATGTGCAATACATGACGAACAGTATGAGAGTTGGGACAGTCTGGATTCTTGATACAGCGTTCTCAACGACCGGAGAAGTAGACGAGTTTTAGCAGGCGGCGCGAAGAATGCGAGCGAGAGTTTGTAGCATTGTAGCGGTAGTTTTCAGGTTCCTCGGCCTGAAGTCGTCTTTTGAATATCCCCTATCGCTATGGCTGGCTTATCCGGGACTCCCACAGTTCCTGCGCCACGCACATATGGAAGCTTAATGGAGGCTTCTTTGCGGCACTGGAGTAATTTCACTACGTTAACTTTGAGGGATCCTTTACTAAGTAATGGGCATGCATCAATCTTAGGAAGGTCCCCCTAAATACCTCTCAAAAAATGACCTCCAAATGAGGGAAAGACACCGTTGACAAATCCCTACCCACACCCGGTACGTTTGTAGCTTTTGGGGATGCCGGCTTCATTGTCAGTGAAACGATATGCAGATCATGACCTTTCGGCAAGATGCAGGAAAGCAGCCAAGGTCTATGCAATAGTTGAGGACCAGGAGCCCTTGCTCGGTCACAGGAGGAAATTTGTGGATTTCTTTACAATATGGGCTGTGCTTGTTCGGGGAGGGCCGTCAGGTTCTGGGAATTCACTGGCAAACAGCACCCTAAGCTTCAGTTTCTGGCTTCACTGGATTAGATCTGCGCAAAGCTTTTGGGCCTGGCGTTTTGGTTCATACTTTGGGGATCTAGCCATTCAGAGCTTGGGCCATCGGAAAGGGCTTTAAGGGCTTTGAAGTTCACAGGGGCTCGCCCAAACCCCCATGATGCTAAGGACATGACAGTCCCGTTGCGAAGTGACGCAGCAGCAGAGGTGCGCAGTCATTTGGGAACTTTGAATTTGAGGGGCCCTTGAGATACTAATTAATGGGTTCGGCAACCGGTATATCACATTCCCAAGCTCCATGGTGCCCTCAAGTAGAGAGCTTTAGGGAGTGTTGGGGGGGGCGGTAGCAGACATCAAGGAGTGCTGGGTTTCTCAGGCCCTCAAACCTAAATCTAGACCCTAAACCTTATCCTAAACAATAACCTTACATCTTTGTCCCTAAGCCCTGACCTCCAAACCTTACTCCCTGAACCCCAATCCCTGCGCCCTAAGCCCCCCCAACAGCCCTATCCTTCATCCTGTGCATTGGGTTCCTGAGGCCCTCGAGGCCCCGTACTTCGAGGAGGATCTCCCAGTACAGTCAGCAGCGCAGCCAGAGGTAGGGTGCCCAGAAGTCCAAATCACCTGAGCTCTCATCTAAACTCCTTATTGGGTTATAAAGGGGGTTCGATTATGTAGGGGATTCTTATAGGGGGATATGAGGAGCTTAGACTATGATTTAGTTGCTTGGGTCTGCGCACAGGTTAGAGTTCAGGATCCGTGATTTAATCGGTTTAGGATTGAGGGCTTCTTGGGAGTTCGAAATTGGGCTTCTGGGATGTAGCTTCGGGAGGTAGACTTCCATCCCCCTCCAGTATCCTGCCCACTCGCAGCCTTCTATTTTCTAGGGGGGTAGAAGAGAAAGCCCATTTCTTTGATCTGCCCGCAGTTACGGTCACACATATTCCCAAATCGGGCTGGCAAAGTGCATGTCGGCCCCTGCTTGTCTAATCAGCATTCTAAGTCCCTCCTGTGGAGATCGGTTTTCGTACTGGCACGCTGGGAAAGAACCCTTGGGTTTTCTACAGAAGTCACTCGCAGCACTTCTAGCATGCCGCATACGATTCTCGACAGTCTATCCTTCAACCTTTAAGCACGTGTCATCCCTTACCTTCAAGCCATGTATCCCATGCACAGAATCATTGCAATGGAGGATGCAGATGTGCAGGTGACAAAAGGCAAACTTTGTTGTCTTTACCGTGCGCAGCACTTCACTAGAAAAGATGGGTTCTATGGAAGGACCGCTGATGTACCCAAAGTACCATTGTCCGGAGGGTCTGGGGGTAGCTTATGTCATGCAGGCTCCAGTCCAGGAGCGCGTAAATCAACAGCGGTACCAGTGTGTAGCGCTACTAGAACAAGGGGTTTAGGGTTCGGGGTTAATGCACAATGTGGCTTGCAAAGTTACTGCTCGCTTGGCAAAGGCATCGGAACTCTGGAGAAGGGTGAAGACAGCACCCTACTGTTGCTTGTCACCCTGAACCCGAAAGTTGCTTAAGTGCAGGACCTTCACCCGTCCTTGGGCTACTGCCACAATTTTTGGGTTACGCAACAACTATGGCTATGACCCAAGAATACCTCGAACTAAATCTACGATGTCCTCGAATGAAGTAACCTGTAGCGAGTATGATGCCAAGGACAGTGCCCTGCTCGAGGGAAGTGAAGTTCTCACGCGGGACACCTCTCTGGAGGAGAACGAAGAAACTTCGCTCGCGCTGAACATTAAGTTAATATTGGGATAATGGAAAAGAAAATGGAAACCCTAGGTCCCTTTAAAGGGGTATACAGGGTTAAATAAGGTATATATTATAGGGGTTCTATTGGGATAATGGAAAAGAAAATGGAAACTACTATAGTATATTAGGTTAATATTGGGACAATGGAGAAGAAAATGGAAACTACTATTATAGTATATTGGGGTTATATAGGGATAATGGAGAATCAAATGGAAAAGAAAATGGAAAATGAAATGGAAACTGGGATTATATAGGGGTTGAAAGTGGTAGAGACACCGTAGATGACGATCCCAAGCCCGGTAGAGGAAGGAAGCGCAGGGTCGAAGGTTTCTCTATGGCTCGGATTACTCGGAGCTACCTAAACCCTCCCTGAGCAGCAGGCCTTTTGTCTGATCCTCTCGTAGCTTCGGATGTGCGGTGACTCCTGTCAGCGAGGAAGCAGCACCAAGTCTGTATGACTTGCATGCCCCTCCTTCCCTCCTCCGAAATTGAACAAGGAGTAGACCTTTGGTCACTCGGGAAAACATTATCTTTGATTTGGGAAGTCTGATTGAATTCATGACTACTTTCTGGAAATCGACTCTGTTCAAGAGGTTGCAGGCCTCTCTCTTTCCGGCGTCGGGCTGACATCATGGTCGGATCCTCCAACAGCTCGTACTCTCGAGAGCCCCCATTTTTGGTGAGGCTGTTTACCAGCTGTGTTTCGCAGTGCACCCAGCGAATGGCCAGGGCTTCTTTCAAGGCTAGCAGCTCGATATGTGTCCTCTTCTCGGCACCCTTGATCGACAACACCTCCGTCTCAAGTTTATCGTGCACGGTGCGGCTGTCCGTCACCACGCAGCCCTGCACCAGTTTCACGGCCTCATCTGGCTGATGAAGAGAAGTTTCTCCATGGAGAAATTGTCTCCATTGGTATCGGGCATAGTACAGGGCGTCCTCGCCGTTGATAGCTGCTTGTGCCTCCGCAGCTCCTGGTGAGCGACAGGTGCGGTCAATCTTCTGGGAGTGCCACGCGATAGGGCTCACGGGGCTCACTGCTCCTTGCAGCATTTCCTCGGTTGCCATTCCCACGAAGATGCCTTGTGTTGACCCTCCGTCAGGTCGGTTGCAGTTGCCTGCGTCCACCCAGGCCACTAAGTTCAGCTTGTCGCGTTCATGGAAGCTATGGATCTTCATCTTGTAGCCGGCCTTTGCCTTGGCATTGCTCAGCAAGATGTTGGCCTTCACGATGGTCTCCACCGAACTGCGAGTAACCTCGGTTAAAAGGAGCCCTACTTCTGCAGCAAGGTAAGGCGCCACCTGCTGTGCATGCCAGCTGAGACCTCCTAACAAGGCGCGTAGCTGAGTCTTCTCCCTATCGGTTGTGGGGCTACTTTTGTCTTTCCTACGGCTAGCGTTGACACTGATTTCATGGAGATTGTCGAGGAAACTAGGTTGGGAGAGTTCGAAGCCTTCGGGAACCTGTTCGATGACAACCCCACACTGAGTGAATTTCCCAGAGTCCCAGTCCCCCCATTTGTACTGTTGTTTGATGGCCTCGACGCGGCCTCGAGCTTGCTTTCCCAAAAAGGATCTCCACTTTTTCCTGCAAAAAGGAAGTCATCAACATGTCCGTAGACTACTCCTTTGAGAACTCCGTTCTCGCGAAGAACCCAACAGCAAGAGTCCGACCACATTCGAGTGAACCCTAGACCTCGTAGGAAAGTGTCCACTGACCGCCACCATTCAAGCGGTGCATCCACCAAGCCGTAGCAGGCACGTTGCACTCTCATGATGCTGCCTGTGGGCACGCAATAGAGCTTGTCTGGATACTCCCGGCTCTGAAGAAATGCCCCTGTGACATCTCCTTTCTTGAGGGACCATCGTTTCCAAGCTGCCGTTCTGCGCACGAAGAATGCGCTGGCTTGCATTTGTCGGAGCTGAACAGAACGTGCGAACTCACCTTTGGGGTGTTCCACCAACAGGTCTGGCGGCAGTCTCTCGCTGGCTGCCAAGAATCGCCCTGTCTCGTCGGGCGCCTGCCCCAGCAGGTGCTGCGCAGGAGAAAACCCACGAATCAACTCCTTGTGGTTGAAAGCTGCTACTGCTTCTGCAAGCTGGGTGAGGACTGAGGTTCTCATCGTGCTGGCTGAGCTTGTCCATGACGTTTTTCACTCCTTGAACTGCGTTCTCGCAGGTGCCAATCTTCCAATGGGCCCAATGGGCTTCCCCAGGAACGATATCAAGAAAAATGCCATGCTTATCGCGCCACTCTTCCACAGCTGTGCTACGGAAAACGCCAGCGGGATCTAACCTCAAGCACCGAGGGAACCCAAAGTACTGCACCCATCCTTCCTGAAGATAGTGCAAGCAGGCCTGAGCATTGGGGGTCTGCCTGGAGCCTTCACTCAAAATGCGAGCAGTCCGAAATCTAGATCCCTCGTCAATCACAAGCATGAGCTGAACAACCTGGTGACTATGAGGGTGAACCCAGTGTCCCACATCAGCGCTCACAGTCGCAAGCTTCGGTGGAAGCGGTTCCAGGGAGGCTAGATTACGGGGAGGGGGTCTGCTTCGCTCCTTACACACAGGGCATTCAAACTCTTTAGCCAATTGAAGAGTGAGCTCATTAGCTCCTCTTCTCTTAAGGGCCTCAACCAGGTGTTTGGGGTTGCAATGCCCAGTGGCACAATGGAGGAGATACAGTTGCTTGCTGATTCGTTCTTTTTCCTGACTAGTTACAGAGTATGCTGTCTCGGCTTCAGTCGAACACGTCTGGGTGGACCTACGACTAGGAACTTGGAAGCCGAGTTCCCTAAGCACATCAAGCTCCGAATCTGCTACAGACTCCCAATTCCTACTCACATACGCCGTCAACCCACCTGTCGCCTTCCCAGTCACACGAACCATGCCACGCCTTAGGGGAAAACGTCGCAACCTTGTCGTGAATGTCATACTCCATTCCCGAAAGAATCTCGCCCTGGCTGTTTTCGCGAACTGGTTTCAGACCCTTTCTCCCACACAAGGACCCTTCGCCCTCAACCCAGAGACACCCTTTGCTACAGCTACCAAGCCCAAAACTGCTGTTGGGAAACCCTTCAGCGTTGTTGAAGTCCCGATGGATTGGCGTGTGCTTGCCGTGATTGATGGCAAACGATGTCCACTTGGAGTCTTTAGGGAGAAGGTTCTTCAACACTTGGTTGACATACTTGCAAAACTGAGGATGGCGGGAACTACGAGTAGTGATTCCATACTGGCTGCCGTACGCGTAGGATCCGTAAACTTGGTACGTACCCTCCTAACCAGGCTGCCTACGTGACTTCTCACCTTGAGCAGGAGTATGGTTCATCACCAACTGTTTGAGGTCCTGAAGATTGGCTTGGGCGGGGCTGAGGAGTTTGAGTTTGGCTTGGGCTTCGAGTTCTGGGGAGCTCTGGTAGTACGCTTGGGCCTCAAGGTCTTCTTTTCCAGGCTCAGAATTGTCAGACATGACGCACATGTGGCAATGACACTCGGAACCCTGACACGCACACATCAACCCTAACCCGAAACCCTCAGGTAACTGCGACTGACCCGTACACTCATCAACAATCCTACTCATCCCCCCTTCCCTCTGAAATCCTTCGAAGACAAGCCTAGCAAATTCAGGAGTGTACCCTGCCGAACGAGTTGCATTCTGACCCTCACATTTGGCATGTTTGTATGCCGCGTGACACCTACATGGCTTATGCAACATGTCAGCAAGCCGGCTGTGGGTGGTGACAATTCGCCCCTTCTGCATCAACTGGCCTTCATTTCCTTTAAGACCTACCGAACAACCCTTCGTGACCGCCGTAAACAGCCCCATTTCAAACCTCAATTTTTGAAACACAGGCAATCTCCAAGCTTCGCTGCGTTCCGCAACTTCAACAGCAACATGGATCCCCATTTGAATGCAGAACCGGACAATTTACAACGCGGAGGGCAACGCTTCTCTTAGCTTTGAGTTCCTGGATCTGAGCAGGGCTGCGCTGATTAACATTCTGTAAGGGGGAATAGGGGCCACAAGGAGGTGAAGTCCAGACACGCTTGGGCTTGAGTGTTTTGATCTGCTCCAGCACTAACAAGAGTCCTTCCGTCGTGGAAAGGTCATGACCACACCACAGCGAACTCCTACAAGCGCTGTCACTGCGACCCATTCTCTTTTGGAAAGTCTTTGTCAGGACACTTTCAGGTTCGCGTGCGACTTCCATGAGCTCGACCCGGTCTTTACCTACCAAGTCATCAAACATGTTAGGAATGAGTAGCTGGGACTTATGTTCAAGCACTCGTGAGTCTGCAAGACTGAACGGCTGTCCTGGGTCCTCGAATTGATCATGCCCCTCTAGGGCTTTCCCATGGTCACGTCCTCCTTGATCGCGACCTTGCGGGGGACAGTCGCCGCACGCTCTTCTTTCAACTCGCGGACTTCCGTCATGAGCCCGTGCATGAGCTGTGTCAACTCCCCGACCATTGCCTCCGATGAGCTGCTGGCCGCCGAAGTCGGGATCAACTCCTCCTCCTCGGTGCTCTCGACCTTCGTCTTGTAGCCGCGGTTGAGGGGGGTCTGTTTGATGATCAGCTTGGTCTGACGCGTGCTCCGGTTGTCCTTGTTCTTGGCCAGCCAACGGGCAAACCTGCGAAGGTACACTGAGCTTTGGCTTCCGGACGCTGTGGCCGTGATCCATTCGCAGTACTTCCCATCTTCCTTGAGGACTTGCTCGTAAGTCTTCCCGGAGTACTTGCCAAAGCCCATGAGATCCCTGGCATCTCCCCCGACATACTCGTACAGGTAGTTGAGGACCTTGGTCTGGATCCAGGCGATGGTGTCCGTGTTCGTCGCCGGCGTACATCTCCTTGACATACTCCATCCGCGTGGCCTTCTTGGTGCTGGCCTTGTTGAGCCCGGCAATCGCTTCCTGGAGTGGGGTCTTGTTTTTGCGACCCCCCACCACCTTGACCTCCCCCTGGGCCTCCAGTTCGTAGAGCCTCTGCCGCAGCTCCATCTTCGCAGATGAAGAATCAGGTCGCTGCGGTTCATGCTTTCCATGCATATTGCTGGAGCTGGAGACCACGAAGGAGTCGTTGGGAATGTCCTTGCCTGAGCCGGAATTGCTGCCACATCGAGGTTCATCCTCGTGGTTGGTCTTGATGACCTCTGACTTTGGCTTGTGGTCTGCGCTGCCAGAGTGATTTCCAGAAAAATGACTCCTACACTCATGCGCACTACAGTCACACTCACTACTAACAACATCCCTGCTTCCCAAGTGCTGAGAGGGTGCCGATTTCGGTGCCCTCTTCCCTGAATCACATCCACTGGCCTCCCTTTTTCCTTCAGGGCAAGAAAAAGGAAGGAGTTGTCCCTAATGCTTCAAAAAGGCCGAGAGGTTGGGCACTTCCGCCGTCGTGGGCAGTGCATTGGACATCCAGTCCTCTGTAAGGGACATGAGCTGGTGACCAGATTTGCCTCGAGCAAGCCTGACCACACGATGTGGGTTGAGACTCTTGAACACAGCAAGGTCTTCACGAAAGTCGATTATGGCGCCTAGGCTACGAAGCGTCTCTATGGACATTAAAATTGGAATACTGTCATGATTTAACGTGTGAACGCTCAGCTCACCAGGTCGACCATCTGCTGGGGATCTGGTTCCCCACCACCAGAGGATCCGTCTGAGCCGCCACTCGCTTGTGGGGGCAATTCGCTGGCTTCTTCGACCACATCTCAAACAATCGATGTTGCTGTCGGACTGAGGAGCTCGGGCACTGCCAGGGTTCTTGCCGAAGGTGGTGCCTGTCTTGTAGTACCGGCGGCTCTGTTTCACCATGAGCTGCTTTTGACGGGCTTCCTTAGGCGTCCGCTTAGCCTGTTAGGGAGTTGCCATGGCCCGATCAACGATCATGGCCACGCCCTCCTCGTACCAGCCGCCTGGCAGCTCCTGTCAACTCTTGTACTAGCCGAGGGCCGGCCGCGCACGTGAGCGACTGCTCCCGAAGGAGCACGGCCTCCTCGTACTGCACAAAGGAGCTCGCCTCACCTCCCCAAATAGGGATGCCATCTTTGGTGCGTGACACATTGGCCTGGCCAGTGTCACCACTCCCACTCATCGTTCTCCACCCTGTGTCCCCCAGAATGGAGCCACGTCTGCCCCGGATCAACCACCAGGAGCCTCAAGCGATGGCCTGAGGCTCCGCTACCATGAAAGTAAAGACACCGTAGATGACGATCCCAAGCCCGGTAGAGGAAGGAAGCGCAGGGTCGAAGGTTTCTCTATGGCTCGGATTATTCGGAGCTACCTAAACCCTCCCTGAGCAGCAGGCCTTTTGCCTGATCCTCTCGTAGCTTCGGATGTGCGGTGACTCCTGTCAGCGAGGAAGCAGCACCAAGTCTGTATGTCTTGCAGGGGTTATATGCTGTTTGGGATAATGGAGAATCAAATGGAAATAGACATAAAGAATCAAATGGAAACTGGGGTTATATAGGGGTATAGCCAGGATGGCTATGGTGATTCCAGGATAGGCTGCGCGACCCACCGCGTGTGAAGTTGTTCACTATTGGAGCATGGTGAGAAGAAAAGGCGTAAACTACTCGACAGCTTCACTCCAAACCTTGAGCTCCCGAGCCAATGTCCTAAACAAGTCACTGCTTCTCAAAATCAGCGTGCCCTATGCACGTGGCAATATGTTCGAATCCCCGCTTTGAGGACCCCCAAAAGAGCGTGCATCAGTTCGAGAAGCTTCAATCTTTAATCCGAACACGAAAATACGATGTAGTCACGTCCTTGCGAGACTCATAGGACTCATATGTATACCCATGCATCGGCCCTATAGTCTCAACAAGTTCTCCGGTATAAGGAAGATGTGTCTCTGGCTTGGTGCGAGACTTGGTCTCTGGAGCCTCAGGTCCGAGTGCCTCAAAATCACTGAAAGTTTAAGAGTATGGCTCGCTTAGCAGAGCATGTAGGAAGTTCGGAGTGTCTCAAAGCAGCAGGTCCCTTTACGGGGTCCTCATTGAGGGGGTATGTGTAGTATGCAGCATCTATCACGGGACACGATGGATAAAGAATGCTAAGTTAGTATAAGAGTATAGGAACAAAGATTATGAATGTTCCAGGATCCGTACTGGATGTTTGTGTAGGGAACGGATCATCAAAGACTTGCATCTTGCATTTTGTGTTGATTATTATGCCTCGCAGGCAAGGGGGGCCGGTAGGCATCTTAGTACTGCCTGACTCATCTTCAGCAACTCATAACTCTTTGAAATCACAGCTCCTTATGTTCTGGAACTTGACCATTGGGGCCCTTGGTAGGAACAGGCCCCCGACCCTGACACGTCATGAGGCGGGCCGGGAGCCGCCCGAGTTCCCTGGCTACCTGCCCTTTGCCAAAGCTATTGGGCTGACGCTTTTCTCCACCATCCTATCCCTCACTTTTATTTCTGCAATCATCACCATTGATGCAGAGAGCTATCAGCCCTGCAACGATCCTGTGGCAGGATGCTTGTATCAAAAAACATTCGCTGCGGGCCATGTTGCCACGACGCAAGGCTATTTCGCAATCATTCAGAACGGAAGAGATGAGATTCTGGGCATGTCTCCAGATCACACGTGGACCGCAGAGCGCCCATCATGGGTGCTGACATGGAAAGTCTGGGAAAACTGGCAACAGTTTCAATTTTTTATGCTAAGTGGCATCGCTCGGTACACATACATTCCTGGTAGCATTCTTGGCAGATCAACATACCAACCACCAGCATTATGCCCAAACATGACAGTCAGTGATATGCACTCTTATTGTGCTTCAATGGAGATGAAAGCCGCAGTCCAAAACCATCTAATTGGACCTGGACTGGCTTCATTCATTGGGCTCACAATAGTTTGGTGCATGGTGAGGATCCTGCATGACTGCCTGTTGCTCCTGGAGCAGAGGGAGGCTGCTGCCTACGCAGGCTGTGCGTCAATTGCA